GAAAGTTTCGGTTTTTTTTTTTTTTGTGTTTGAATAAAATTGAAAAAGTTGAATCGTTTTTTGTTTATTTCAGATTTGATTTTTGAATGTTTTTTAAAATTTTCAAAAAGTTTTTTCCTGATGGAGCGCCAAATTTTGGAGGTTGGCGCTGAATTGAGAGGAGCGATAATCATGTAAATCGCATCATAGTGTACCAAAGTGATCCGAACCAATTGTTTTTAATCGACCAGAATACTAACCTGCGCATGCGCGGACTATCATAGTTTTAATTTATAGATGCGCAAGACAATTATAGTTTTACTATACTACCGTAAATTACAAAAATATTACTAATGAAGAAAAATTAAAACATTGAATTATCTTGGTTGTGAGATGACAAATCAATTTTGCAATATAATTTTGAAATATATCTTTTTCAATATTTATGCATGTACAACCATATAACTTTTTTTTTTTTGAAAAAAGTTTTCTATTTAAAACGAGTGCAGGTGAAAGTGTTAAAACATGAAAAATTATTACGTAAGAACAACACTAGCACTAAATCAATTAAGAAGGATATAAAAGGTATATATATTTTCTCGAACTTTGAACCTTCACGAGTCCATGGAGAAACCGTGAGCAACCCAAACAAGGGACGACGACATGAAGAGCAGAACACAAGAAATCGTATTGAAGGGCTGATGAGGTCATCGAACCAGTAGTTAAACCAGGGTCCAACAAGATGTGATCTCAACCCGACTAGAAGCCAGCAAAGACATAGGTGCCTTCCAAGGAGCCTACTGGACGAACCAGGCGGAGTTAAGTGACAAACTAACTCGTTTCAGAAACTTAACTCATCGTAGAATCACCTGGAGCTCGATTCGTCGCAATATTAGTTCATATGATGAAGTTATGAGTTTTACAAATCGGGTAAACCCCAACTTGCCTGTTTTGGACCAACATGCAGTCATTGGAGTATTACGACTAAGCTAGAAGAGATTAAGCTATGAACCGACTTGTTACATATTATTGAGCCATCAGAGACACGTGACGATTTGGTTTGAGGCCAATACCAGTTCTGAGTTGATCAGAATCAATTTTGCAAACCAGCGAATCCTGGACTTGTCTAATTTCAAACCTTACAGGTTTGGTAGACTTGAATCTTATGTTTGGTGACCAGGGGAGTCTCTTATGCAACTAGAAGCTCCTAAAGATATCTCAAGATTAATTCCCAGCCATTGGATCATGAAAATTCAATCTTGCTCAATCAAGTATCACCACTTACCATATATGGACCCGATAACACTTATCCTGCTCCAACGGCTATATTCTGAATGTATGGAGCTGAAGGAGACTTCTAGAAGACTCATGGATCACGGTATCATTCTCAAGATATCAAGATATAAAGGTGCCATCAAGCTTCCCGTATTTGGCCAAGATACCAACGGCCATATTACTTTAATGTTGTATATTTCTTTCCTTTTGTTTTTATTAGACCGTTAGCTTTAGAGCATATATAAGCTCGACTTGACATCATTTGTAAGCACCTTTCTTCGAAATTAATCAAGTAATATTCAGTTTACAAAAGTCTTTTGTTTTGTGTTGTTCATTAGAGTTCTAGGTGGATTCCTTTACTCTTGTGTTCGTGTCTATAGAATCTGAGTGTGGATTCACTTATGTTCTATTGGCTTGCGATTCTAGATTGTTTGTGAGACTCAAACGAATCTGGTTCGTGTGTTGCTCGTGGATTCGATCAACAAAACCTCCACTTCCATCTCTATCATCACCCATCTTCCGCAACAAGATTATAAACTTTGAAATCGTGTGATCAATAAGATTTGGTGGATTCCAATCTTATATCAAGGGCAAATCACAGCATAACCGAGAACCAAATCCACAACTAAGTCTGAAGAAGAGCAACACCAAATATTAGCACAACGAAACGGATAGACTACAACATCAAGGAACCGAATGTGAAACTCACTTAAAGACATAGAAAGAGGCTCAACAACCCGTTAAGAGAAGGCTTAACCAGGCTTGGAGACGACATCAGACCACACCTGCATGGAGAAGCATGGGAAAGAACATTCCAGACAGAAGACAAATCCCTACAGAACCTAATAGCACCTAAACATCACTGGCCGAATTAGCTAAGTCTACACCAATAACTCTATCAGAGCAAAGTCACCAGAGGAAGAGTAACTAAGTCACAGCAGACCAGGATGGCCCTGAGCATCCTCAAACCACAAATGGCCATCGAAGACGCATAGAAGAGAAGAGAAACGTCTAAGAAAGGGGATAAAAGGGAACCTACATAGACTGAAGACCAAAGCAATCACAGAGCAAGGTTAACGCTGCAGAACCGGATCAACAACAAAACACATAACATAGCAAACAACATCCAAGCTTTGACTGGCACAGAGCAGAGAAGAAAGCTACTCAAAACCGAGAGGAATATACCAGACCGAATACCCGATCGCAGAGAAGAAGCCTTCACAGAAATCAAGCTGGATAAATGATGAAGAGGAAAATAGGCCAGACCCAACCAGATGGAATCACTAAAATTGCTGGCAGCGACTATTTACAACAACAATGTCCCTTGTTATACCTCTTTAGCGGCGATCAAGACAAGTGAATTCGGCGCTGAGATGCGAGACAAGTCCAACGAGATCGGATTTCGTCTCCGGAGATAAGTGAAAAAGATGAGACCATTAGGAGCAATACTTACTAGATCTTCCTTGATGACATGATCGTTAGGACAACCCAACCAAACGTGAGGACGACTAGCAGGATAAGACACTGGGAGGCAGATGGTGACAGTTCTTGCTACATCCCTCTTGGCAATACCTGACCTTTTTATCATGTATTGTGAACAATTTCTCCTTTTATGGAGGATAAGCGTTGTGACCCACAAAAGAAAACTTCCAAGTACCAGTAATTTCTTCAATCAAACCGGTTAAGCAAACCAACCCGTGATGTGATCATGGCTGGTTCGTTTGGGCTTCCGGTCTTAAAAACTCTAGCCTCCAAAAAAATTATTTAAAAATATTGAGAAGCGCAAAAGCTATTTGGCAACGTTTTCACTAATTAATTTTTGTTCTATCGATATTGTTTTACGAAATTGTCCTCTATTTCATTATTACTGATTAATATTTCCGTGGGTTTATTGTCTTTTTGTATATAGAGCTATTATTTCGTTTGGACTGTTCAGAATTTTATGGGCTCTATTCAATTTTTTTTAATTATTTGTAAACCCATTAATATATGTCGGTTTTCATAAACCTTAGTAACTATCATTATTTTCTTATAAATATTGTCCGAGTGGACGTCCTATACGCTTAACAAGGTTTGCCTTTATACCATGTCTGATTTTATGTTCTTTTTTTACCCTATCATAATCGTGTTGAAGCTAAATTATGGTTTATGTTGTGTTCGTGTGTTAGCCTG